TATATACATTACTGTATTAATAGAGATCATAAAATACACTAAAAGAGTTTAGATAAAAGAGCTTAGAATGAATGAAATATTTTAAATAGTTTTCATCTTATTTATTGTGTAGGAAATCTCTTGAATATTAAACTTATGAATCTCATTTCTGTGAGAATCCTGTGATTAATGTACTTCATTATTAAGTTATGTATCTGCTGGGTTAACATTCCAAATTCAGCAGTGTGATGGCCTGATTCTAAGCTTAGTTTATGTCCAGACTGGTTTTCTTTATTTATTTTAATTCTCTTTTTTTAGGTAGAGTCTCACTGTGTAGCCCAGACTGGCATTAAATTTCCAGTCTTCCTGTATATTAGTTACTTTTCTATTTGCTGTGACCAAACACCTGACAAAAAGCAACTTGTGGAATAAAGGGTTTAATTTGCCTTCCGTTTTGAGAGAATGCAGTCCATCATGGTGGGGAAGGTGCAGGGGAAGAGGTTACAGCAGACGATTGCATTGCATCCATGCTTAGGAAACAGATGAACATTGGAACTTAGCTAATTTTTTTCTTTGTATTCAACCAGGAACCCCACCCCCTCTCACCCCGTACCACAACCCATAGAATGGTGCTGCCCACATTTAGGGTGGTCTTCCTACCTCAGTTAACCCAATCTAGAAACCTTCTCATAGATGTGCCCAGAGGTTAGTTTCCTAGGTGATTCTAGATCCTGTCAAGTTGACCATCAGGATTAACCAGTACATCCTTCTTCAGCCTCCAGAGTGTGGGGATTATAGGTGTGAGCTGATTGCACCGACCTATACAAAGGTTTCTGTCGACAGCTGGCTATGTTCACACTCTTGTCTGTCAGTTCTTGTTACAAATTTAAAAGTATTAACATTCTTTGTATTTTAAATGAATGGGAACAAATGCCATTGAAATTCCTTATAGGGAAAAATTTTAACTAGGTTTAAAAGTATATCTCTCAAACAGGAAAGGTTTTTTCCCAGCCCTCCCAGTGATATAATTTAGGCCAGAAAATCTAATCAGAATATCAACATTTCCAAATATCCCTTTTTGCCCCCTTCTTCCCAACAGGATTGCTTTGCAAACCAGCTATTTCCCTCTTGTTGAAAGCATCACTTCTACTCTGAAATAACAGACTGGATCTTTTTATTTGCTTTTCAGTGCTGGGGATCAAGCCTGGTGCCATGACCCTAAATATTCTTGCCAGGTTCATCTCAAAATCCTCTCAGCCCCCTTGTACCCTGCTCCCCATTCTCTGCTTCCTGTCTCCTTCCTAGATGGAGGTAGTCCCCCTAACTGTTAGCTCCAGCCTCATTCTGTACCCCTTGTCCTGTTTCTCTTTTCCTTATGGCTCAGATCCCCCTCCCTGTGTTTTCTGTCTGCTCACAAGACTGTAGCTCCAGGAGGAGATGACTGTTTTGTTCCCTGCTCTGTCCTCAGGGACACTGATGGCTTAACATAATATAGGTCCTCCACAAATCTGTTGTGAATGGGGATGGAGTGCCCACTAAGGAAGAGGTAGAGGAGGGTCAGAAAGAAAGGTGGGCTTGCTTTTACAGCAACAATATTAAGCCCACATAGAAAATCTTGTTGCGGGGACAGAAGCACCAGGAGTGCTGGGGCTTGACACACCTCTGCAGACAGAAGGAAACCAGTGGAGGAAAAATTGGTGAAAGAGACACATGTGCTAGGAAGATAAAAGTGAGGTAGGAGCTGGGGTATGGGGTTTCCCTTCCTGCCTCCTGTACTAACAGATGAGGGGTTAGAAAGAGAGGAGTTAGACCCACTGCAATTTTTCCAGAAGCACTGACTAACCAGTGCGCTGGGAGCTAACTATGGGAGGTGAGGCTCTTGGCCACTGGGGCTGAGGTCTGGGCCACACAGCTTGCTGAGCTTTGAGCAGGAGCTGAGCATCAAGAGGCCTTCAGAAGTGTTCCCTTGACCCTTCTGTCCTCATCAGAAGTAAAGAAATGGAGAACCAAGTCTAAGACCACCTAGATCTTCCTCCAAAAGAGAACTATACCAGCAACCATAGAATCTTCTTCTCCTTAGCTGACTCAGGAGTATCCAACTGACAATATGAAAACTCTGTCAATCCAGGGCTATTACCCAGGGTTCTCCAGTGAAGCCCAGCTATGGTACTGTCTTAGAAGAGTGACACATGCCAAGGCTGTGCAGAACTTTGACTGGTGCTTAGATGAATGCAAATGCACGCACTCGAAGTTCAAAGATATCCATTTTTACAAATCAAGCCGTCCCTCCTGGTCCAAAATAAAAATCCCAAGTAAATAAAAATAGCTGGGCATGGTAGCATATGCCTGTAATCCCAGCACTAGGGAAAGAGAGGCAGGTAGATCTCTATGGATTTGAGGCCAGCCTGCTCTTCATAGTGAGTTTCAGGCCAGCCAGGGCTACCCTGTCTCAAAAACAATTTTTTTAACAAAAATAAAAGGCAGTAGGGTGTGGTGGCATATGGCTGTTATCCCAGCACTGAGGAGGCAGAGGCAGGGAGATTAGGAGTTCAAGGCCAGCCAGGGTTACATGAGACCCTGACTCAAAAAAGTCAAATAACAATAACAACAATAAGAGAGAAAAAGAGAGGAAGGAAGGAAGAGAGAGAGAGAAAGAAAAAGAAAGAAAGAGAAAAAAGAAGAAAGAAAGAAAGAAAGAAAGAAAGAAAGAAAGAAAGAAAGAGAAAAAGAAAGAAAGAGAGAACTGCCAGATGCAGGTGAGAGGAGTGTGGAAAAACATTTTGGGTCTGTGGTCAAGACCATCCAGCGAGCATCCTTTACTACAAAAGATAATACTGATTATTCAACTCTGACCTCATGTTTAATAATGTTACATATTAGCTTCCTCACAGCCCTGGTGGGTAGGTACAGTCAGTGTTATTAATATTCTCATCTTACAAGCTTGGCAAGGTGGCTCACACTTGTAACCCCAGCACTTGGGAAGCTGAGGCTAGAAGACTGCAAGGAGTTTGGGGCCAACATAGGCTACCTCGTGAGTTCCGGGCCAGTCTGAGCTATAGAGTAAGACCCTGTTATAAAAAGACAGCAACATTAAATCAGAAAATGAGATGCACCAGAAAATGGAAACTGAAGGAACTTTCTGGAAGTCATAGAGCTAGAAAATGGTAAAGCCAAGACCTGTATGCAGAAGTCACATGTTTAAGATAAAGCATATGGAAACCAGCAGCTCCACGGCCTGGAAACACACCAGCCCAGTGGTAATATTCTTGTTGGCTTGGGAGGAGAACCCATTCTCTGAAGAGCTCACCATGGGAAGTTGTGAATGGAAGGAACCCATACATGATTTGGGGTACAGTACAATTTGGGAATGCTTTCCTTACTGCGTGCCAGGTAGAGCCAGCTGTGAGCTCGGACTTCTCCAGGAGGACCACATCCTTCATCCCTGCCTTGGCCAGGTGATAAGCCAGACTCACGCCCACACAGCCGCCTCCAATGATCACCGTCTCTGCTCTGTCTTTCCATTCCACTTCTGCACCCAACGGTGGGCTTTCCTGTCTGAGGGAAGGGATTGTTAACAGTGGTTACTTCATTATTTGGAGATAGCTTTAGTTTTGGTCTGAATCATGTCCTCCCTTTTCTCTAAAACTTAACACTTAGAGATTGCAATTTGCTTTTAGTAACCTAGGTCATCTGAACCCTGACAGGCAGCTTGCACCTAATGTAGTCAAGGACGTGGGTGGCACAGCAAGTAGTTACTGCTTCTTGGGGTGGGAGAATTTGTGCTTTATTGCCATAGGTTATACCTTTGATACATCTCATTCATACTTCCTTTATTCATCCAAGTGCTTCCTGAGTTCCGGCTCTGCCCAGGGCTGGACATGCAGACCCTTTGTGCTCTGAAGTGTACAGCAGACTGGGGCAGGGGGAGACCAAGTAAGTAAAGGGAATGACAGCAATGACAGTCTCTTCGATGGAAAGATACAGGGATGTGGGAGCATCAATCAACAGGAAGGCTGTGGTGGGAGGGTGAAGGATGAAGAAGAAGGAAGGAAGTAAAGAAAGAAACTATCAGGCTTCAGGGCGGTCGTGAATAGTCAGCACAGAGGGAGCTGGGTCCTGAAAGGCCACTGAGGCAGCACATGAAGAAGCCCATAGGGTGCAGCTGGCTCTCTAACATAACAGGCAACAGGTAAACACTGTTGAACAGATGAATGAAGAACATGATTTTTGTTGCTTAATTCTTACATTCCTTCCTAGGTAACCACACCTTTATTACATTAATTTCTAACATAGAAGGTCACAGTATGGATTAATAAGAATTCTGGGACAATTCCACATATTACATTTGGTAATACAAAGTCCAAAAGTTGTAGTTTTAAATTGCGAAGAAAGCAGTAGGAACTTCCCGCGAGCTGATATAACTCTAGCATCTGTTCTATTATACTTTATTTGGAGGGAAGTAGTATATGCGATGAAGATAAAATTGTTGAATGGTCTTGATATCTAAATTCTAATCTACCTTCAAAGTTTATCTAGACAACAATTTTCCATTTTCTTCAATGCATGGGGGGTTGACTTTGTTTTCTATGCTTTCAAATATTTCAGAATATATACATATAATATGAATGTACATACATATCGTATATACACATAATAGTAAATGCAAATTTTAAAATACTAACTCAGTGTAGTGCACAATATTATGACTTTGTATTTGTCTAATCGATTTTAAACAACTTAACCCAAGATTAACAAGTTTCTATTTCCTTCTGTACTAGGTAAAATATTATTTTACATAATTTTGTGATGTGTTACAGTGTGCAAAGCTCTTGTGCATTCTTTTATTTTGGATTTGCAGCAATACTATGAGCTAGGCAGAGCAGAGTCAGCATCCTCATTTTGTAGACGAGGAACTGCAGCTGGGGCGTGCCAAGCAAGATACTGTGCATCTACCTGATGAATGGGAACTGCTGCCTGGTGGCTCCTGTATTCCCAGCACCAGGAACAAGCCCAGGTCACCACAGGCACCATGTAACTATCTGCCCAATGAAAGGCCAGAATCTCAGGCCATAGGATGTAAAATACAAGCTGTGTCAGCTCTTCAGAGTGTTGAGTGACTCTAGGAAGCAGAAGCCTTATCTTTCCAAGAGTGACGTCAAGACAGGCTATCAAAGATGTTCAACCTGGCTCTATTTAAAGACAGATCAATACTACAATAAAGTGCCACCTCTCCTATCTGATTTAGCATTCCATTCATCTACCCCTACTCAGGGAGCCAGGAAACGTGGGAAACAGGCCTTCAGAGGCCTTCAGAATCTTGCCAACTTTGGGAGAATTTGTTGCTGTCTCTCAACCTTTCAAATGTATCCAACCATTTCCTTAGCAATTCACCTCTAAAAATTGATTCTATAAACAGACTCCCATGTTTTCCCAAAGATAGACACATAAGACTGTTCAGATGCACATTATTTGTTATAACAAAAAAACAGGAGTGGTTTAACGTCAATGAATGGACTGCTGGATTATATTGAAGAATATTGATAGAATGGAATACTATGCAGCCATTACAAAGAATAAGGCAAATCAATATGCACTGATATGGACCAATCTCCAAGACATATTAACCATTATAAACAAAACCAGTAACTACAGTACAAATGAGCCAGAGAAAAAGCAACATCTGCCTGTGTTTGGCTGCATGTGAATCACCTCTTAGAGATGCTATAGACACTGTCCTCTGTTGGCCGGACCAGGGGTTGAGGCAAAAGAGACTGGAATGGGGAACTCTTCTACAGTTTTAACTTCGCAGTTAGCAGATGATTCAAGGAGAATCCCCAAGTCCATTTCTCCTCCTCCCAAGCCCCCTACCCAGGGGGCCTCCCGGGGCCCCGACTATCCAACCACCACCCGCCGGCACTTACCCTTCCCTGAGGCTGGCAAATCCCCGCAGGGGGCGGCTCCGCAGCCCTAGGCCCCGCAGCCGCAGCGCACCCAGGAGCATGGCGAGCGGAGGTCGAGCCGGCGGCTGCCTGGAGGGCTGCCTGGAGCCTGGAGGCCGAGTGGGCAGCCTGCGGGCCGAGTGGGCAGCCTGCGGGCGGGCAGGGCGGGTCCTCCCCCGGCGAGGGGCGGGCTCGAGCACCGCGGCGCAACCAGGACGGGTGCACTCACAACCCAGGGGATATGGCGCCAGCAGAAGGCCCTGGGGCCAAGAAGGTAAGTGTCCGCCCTGCTTCTTTCTTTCTCACTGAATCCCCTGCCTGGGCTCTGAATTCAAATTCCGCTTCGGCCACTAACTAAACCCTGACATCCTAGCCAGGTCCGGGGCTAGGCAGCCCAGAGCCTCAGCCTTCACGGAGCCCTTGTCTAGCCCAGAGTATCCAAATTTTCACAGTTCGCTGGGGGAGGAAACTGAGGTTCAGGAGCCAGCGACCGCTCAGGATCGCAGGGGGACCTGCAGTCTAACTTCTGAACTCAGAGGGTCCACAGTGTTCTCCCCTAAAGGAAAGCAGCAGCTCCTGGAGGGTCGTCCACCTGCTGCTCCAGAAAGTTCCCCTTAGGCGGCTTCAAGCCTGAGCAAGGACGCTGTCCGGCTCTCAGGGGTGGGCGTGGGGGCCCCGCTGCCGCCTTCAGCAAGCAACCTCAGCATCTGGCCACTTTCTCCATGATGACCAGATGTGGGCTTTATTCCCACAGTTTTGGGCATGTGTGCTGTGGAGGGAAGGGATGACAACAGAGCAGAAGGACAAAGGCATGAACTTGGAGGAAGGGCCTCCCGGGACCCCACAGAGCTACCCACCTGAGCCCATAATTCAGAATTGGGGGTACTGTAGAGGCGTAAAAAGTGCGTCACTGATTTAGCAATGAAATAAAATAAATAAATAAAAGTAAAAAAACTGAGAACCCACAAGGTGCCCTAAAATGGGGAACTCTCAAAGCTCAGGTTCAATCACTTCACAAGCTGTTAGGCAGCCATGGTGTGAGACCTGACAGAGCACAGTGGCCAAAGTCACACAGGGAGAAGCATCGTGGCAGACCCACCCTGACTGTATCTGCATCCCTGGACACCATAAAGAACACTATCAGAGCAGCAGGCAAAGTGTGGAATGCAGACTTCACGGCATGATTTGAGGGATGTTTTTCTAATTATAACAGTTAAAATGGGGCTGGAGAGATGGCTCAGTGGTTAAGAACACTGGCTGTTCTTGCAGAAGACCTGGGTTCAAATCCCAGCACCCACATGGCAGCTAACAACTGTCACTCCAGTTCCAGAGGGGATCCACAACAACCTCTTCTGTCCTCTGCAGGCATTGCATGACACAGGTGCACTTACCTATGTGCGGATAATACATGCATACACATAAAAATAATAAATAAATACACATTAAAGTAAAAATGTGGAAAGAAAATAAGATTAATTCAAAGACTTTTTTAAAGATAACGTTGTACTGACTTCTTTCACTCAACTTTGTGTAATGCTATTTTCATTTTTACAATTCATTTTAAAAAAGCATTTAATTAATTTATTTGTGTATGTGTGTGAGCATGTGTGTGAAAGTCAGAAAACAACTTGTGAGAGATAGTTCTCTCCTCCCACTGTGTGGGACTCAGGGCTGAACTCGGGTCATCAGGCTTGGCAGCAGGTGCCTTTACCCAATAAATCATCTCACCAGTCCATAATTCACTTTTTTAAAAAATATATTTTATTATTTTTATTTTATGTATATAAGTATATTGCCTGCATGTATGTAAGGGCACCTGTGTTGTGCAATGCCTTCAGAGGTCAGAAGAGAGTGCTGAAGGCCCTGGAACTCCGTTATAGGCAGTTATTAGCTGCCATGTGAATGTTGGGAATCAAACCTGGGTCCTCTGCAAGAGCAGCCAGTTCTCTTAACCCCTGAGCCATCTCTTCAGCCCCCCACCATTCACTTTAAAAGAAAGTTTTGAAAATGTCATGTCCCATTCCTCTGGGGACCCTGCTCCTGCATGATTATCACATGGCTGTTTATGTCAATGTGTACCTGGGAGCTGCTGGAGACAGTCCCCCAACTCTCCTCAGTTGACAGGTGCAGGTCAGCAATGCACATATGTGCTTTGTTCAGTTAAAGAGCAGCTGATACCCCCAAATAGTTCTTCAAATCACCCTGCTGGTGATTCCAGGTAGATGGGGACATGTTTTAGGCAGACTAAGTCTGTGGCCACCATGCCACAGGGAGAAGTTGGCCTCCTCTGAGTTAACAGACTCACCCTGAACCTAGAAGGCAAATCTAGGGGTGTCAGGGTAGATATCTACAAAAGGAAGTGTAAAGGACCCCAGAATCTCACCATCAGGTCCAGAGCAGAGGCATTGCTCCAAATAAACGAGAGGTCTGATGAAAACACAAGTGTGCTGCAGGTGAATTCAGTCCGACTCTTCCCTGCCTTGTCTTTTAAAACTGTCATTAGAACAAGGGAAGAGGGGCTGCAAGATGCTCTGGATTCACATCTTGGTGATTTAGTCATTTTGATAATGGCCTCAAAGAAAAATGGCAAAAATGTTGGGCGAACTTCCAGATGGAAAATATATACATTGCCTTTTATCCTGTTCATGAGGATGTAGTCAAAAATGTGTGCTACAGTTATCTTAAAGCTCATGAATTTCCTGTAAAAGTGTGACTCTTTTTGCTTCTTGGGACCCCGATCTTCCCACATGGGATGCATCTTATATTTTCAGAACAGTTCTGTACCTTGGCTAGCTCTGCTGTTGTGGTTCATTAAGGAGCTCCCCTTAGTTAGGTGTTATAGAGGTGAGACAGATAGAGACAGAGAAGATGTCACCTGTCCCCACACATCCTACCATCAAAATGAGGAGGCAGGTAGTGGCCAGACACTGTAGGACAGGTGGACTCAGAGACGAAGATGCTGCAGTTGATCAAGGCACAAGGAAAGGACGATCACTGATGAGAAACACAGGTGAGGCTTTGCTCTGCATCAGCGAAGAGGTCACATGGATAGAAACTATTTCAGTGATCCAATGGCTATGATCAGAAGGGAGGGGTGAATCTGAGAGAAGCCAAACAGACACGTGTGGTGGGTTAGGATACAGGAAGCAGGAGACTAAACTGTAACAGCAGAATAATGTGTCCCTCCTCTAGAACTGTTTAATGAGTGACACTAAACTTGACTCTCAAGTTGGTTGATGCAGGGGATAGGTTTACACCTCCTTCCTAATGAGCAGCAAAGGTGGGCCATGCAGAGCTGCTGTAGCTACTCCAGGATGTCGGGAAACACCAAGTTCCTGTTAGCAGTTGGCTCCAGCAGACATACAAGATGGCTACTTTACTGACATCCAGCCAGGAGGGAGAAAAGAGCAAGATGAGAGGGAATGGGCATCTATGTCAGGAAAGTAGAGCTTTTCCAGAAATCCCCCATGGCTTTCCCTTATCTCATTGGTCAGTGGTATGATAAGGTGATGCCCAGCAGCAAGGAAGCCTGGGAGGTTTTTCTTTTTAAGTTGAGGACATTACTCTCCTCTTTCCCCCATTCATTGGTAAAGAAGAGAGAGAATACTCATTCAGCAACTAGCATACCATGTTGAATAACCAGAATTACTTTTAGGTAATCAGTGATCAGTGCTTTCATTATAATTTGACCCAGAAACTTTTTTTAATACCAAACATTTTAATGAGGAAACAATCTTAAAATAATGCATGGCTTGTGTAAATATGAATTTTCTTTTAACAAGATCACATAGTCACCATTTTAAATACTATAGACTATTATAAACATTTTAAAATTATAAATTCTCTAAATTTCTACCCATAATCAAAAGTATTTTAATTTATTCAGCCAACATGTATTACTTTACTCAATGGACATTCACTGATGCTAGGAACTAGTCTACATGTTGCCGGTCCAGTGAGGAACAAGAATAGCCAATGTCCCTGATCTCATAGGGTTTATGTTCTAGTGGGGGAAACAGACAACAACCACAGAAATGCACAAATAAGATCATTGCAGGTCATAGTAGCTACTATGAAGAAAACTGTCATGCAGGATGGTGTCTAAGGTGGGCAGTGTCCAGCCCCATGCCAGATGAAGGCCACAGGATGCCTGAAGTCTGGGCTTTGTGCCAGGAGCCAGCTTAGATTCAATCCCATCTCTACCCAGAGGCAGATTTCCCAGAAGCCAATGCTGCTTTTGCTGGTGTCCCTCACCTGCCTGGAGACAACCAGAAAGTATTTTCTTTGTAAGTATTTTAGGAGAATTGCCCAAAACCTTCTCAGAAGATGCCTTCCAAGTGCTGGGATTAAAGGCGTGTGCTACCACATCCGTCAAAATCTTTTCTTTATTAAAGACTTCTCCTACCCCAGCTCCTAAAAAGTTCAAGTCCTATGAAACTTGATTCTATTTTTGGCTTGACCATTGTTTATCTGCTTTAGTTGAAAAACGAAACAAAACAAAAACACAGGAGAACTGCCAAGGAAAATCAACTCAGATTGCCGAATTGTGGCCAATGAAAATACTTGTTTGGAGGTAGTTCATTATGAAGTAATAGACCATCAGAACATGTGTTCATAAATAATATGTGGTGATATTTGATACTTAATGTGAATTTTTTATTTAATGTGAGTGGTATTGATGTAGGTAACATCCTAAAACTTTTCTTTAGCCTAATTAATACTGAAATCATAGATAACATTCCATTTATTTTAATGATTTTAATCTATTGTTCAGGTAACAACTTGTTTTAAAAATTGGATTGTTTCTGCCAGAGGTGGTGGCGTACGCCTTTGATTCCAGCATTTGGGAGACACAGGCAGGTGGATTTCTATGAATTTGAGGCCAGCCGGGTCTACATAGCAAGCTTTAGACCAGCTGGGGCTACAGGGAGACCTTGTCTCGAAAAGACAAAAAAAGGATAATAATAATTTAAAAAATAATAAATAAGAAAAATTGCATTGTTTCCAAGTTTCCTCTGTCGCAGAGAAGCAACATTGTGCTTATATGGTGTCCTAGTTTCCTTTCCAGCTGCTGTGATAAACTACTCTGACAAAAGTGCCTCAGGAGAGAAAGGGTTCATTTCAGCTCACAGTTCTAGCTTACATTCCATCATTGTGGTGAAGTCAAGGGGGCAGGACTCTGATGCAGCTGGTCACATCTACAGTGAAGAGCAGAGAGATCACACAGTTCAGGATCCTCTGCCTAGGGGCTGGTACCACTCACAGGGGCTGGGTCTTTCCACTAAGCAAGATAATCCCCACAGACAAGCCCACAGGCCAACCCAACCTAGACAATCTGGCATTGAGATTCCCTCCCCCAAGTGATTCTAGACTGTATCAAGTTGACAGTTAAAACTAACCATCACATTTGTCTAACTTTATACCCCTTAATGTTGAGGATTTCCCATGTACCAGATTCGACTCTAGAGCTCACATTCCAAATCTCTAAAGTATTTTGTATACTAATGTCCTTTGGCTTTATGTCTGTTAATTTTGTTTCCCAGATAAAATTATAAACATTTTTTGAGAGCTTGTAATTATATTACTTACAATAATAAGTACTATTTTCCAGACACTATCCATAACATTTGAAAAAGTATTATTCTATTTAATTCTCACACAATATAATGACTGAGGTAATATTTCCATTTTATAAATAAGAAAACAGGTATAAGGAGTTTCAATAGTTTGCACAGAGCCATACAGAATATGTTAATGGAGAAAAGATAGCCTCAGCTCTTTGCACAAAATCAGTACCTGGACTGGCCAAGAATCGTGCCATGCTCAGGCTTTCTAAAACGTGTTAGGCATAATTTAAACAAACCTACAGCTCTAAGAATACAATATCGGCATTCCTAAAATTAGAAATTGCTTCACAAGAACAAGTGGGGTGTGGGAAATGCCTAGGTGATTGTTTTTTCTCTTTACCAGGGCATTTTGGACCGTCTGGACAGTGGGGAGGTTGTGATTGGGGACGGCAGCTTTCTCCTCACTCTGGAGAAAAGAGGCTTTGTGAAAGCGGGCCTCTGGACTCCAGAAGCAGTGGTAGAGCATCCAAATGCAGGTGAGTGCCGCCACCCAAGAGCATGTGTCCAAGTGATAGTGTGAATGCCCACGTCACTCAAGTGTGTATTCAGTGACAGTTTACTTAAATTCCATTGAGAGAAAACCGAGAAATAATAGTGTCTCTAAGAACTGCTTCACTTGTGAAATTGTCAAAGGCAGAGGCCATGGCAGTGTGTGGGCTGTAGCACGAGGAAAATCATCTGGCTCCCTCTCTTTCCTCCCTCTCTGTCCCTCTCCCACTTGGATCTTCTTGGACAAGCAGTGTTGAAAATATACATTTTAATGTTTATTCCTTGAATTTACCTTGTAGCTGTTCAAGAGTTTCCCTAAGATAGCAAAAATAGTTTTTGCTTTAGTTTCATCCTGCTGATGGATGTGCATGGTAGATAATAACCACAGGCATGGTGACAGTGGCTGATGACCATCACCAGGTTAATGGAGCAGACAGCATAATGTGGGACAAGAAGACAAAAAAACAAACAATTTTGCATCCTCCTGGTGGGGGAGGTGTTGGAAGTAGGTTTAAACTGTGTTGCATTAGGCCAGTAACTCTGGATTTTAATGTTATTCTGACCTTGTTGCTGTTGTTTCTCCTTGCTTTCCTGAGTTAAAGTAAGGAAATCAGGCCCAAGAATAAGACAGGGGAATCAGGACACACACTGGTTTTACCCACATGTGCACAGTGAATGAGACAGAACTGGGGTCCTGTCTTGCTTCTGCACACGAGTTGTGCCCTTAGACAAGTTCCTTGCCCTGCTGAGAATCCATTCCTTCACCTGTCATATGGGGCAGGATGATGTGGGGCAGTTGTAAGGACAGATGAGTTCACCTCTGTGAACTGCCCAGGATATCACTGGAGCTCGAGGCCATTACTGCTGTTTCCCCAGACACCTGGTGTTCCATGAAAGAAAGGACAGAGCTTTGTTTCTGAACCAGAGCCTCTTAAGAAATTTTCATCTTGTTCTTATTTTTGGAAGATCTTTCAGCTAGACTGGGTGTGTTGAAATGGCCAGGAGTGGGATGGAGCTGGGGAAGAGAAGCAAGGAGGGACTTACTTTGCTTGCTTTTTGTTTTCTTTTCATTTTTAAAGCTAATTTGTTTTTTTACCTTTGTGTGTGTGTGTGTGTGTGTGTGTGTCTGTGTGTGTGTGTGTGTGTGTGTGTCTGTGTCTGTGTCTGTGTCTGTGTCTGTGTGTGTGTGCGCATGCGCGCGCGCCTGCAAAGGATCCCTGGAGCTTGATTGCAAGCCACCGGCTATGAATGCTGGGGTCCTCTGCAGCCTTAAGAAGCAACAAATGCTCTTAACCACTGAGCAATCTCTTCTGTCTTCTAATTTTTCTAGACGTGATCTCATATGGCCTCAGGCTAGCTATGTAGTCAAAGATGATCTCGAACTTCTGATTCCGCCTGCCTTCACCTCCTGAGTGCTGGGATTACAGGCATGAGTTTATAAGATCCTGGGGATCAAATCCAGGGCTTCCTGCATGCTAAGCAAGCACTCTACCCACTAAGCTACATCTCCATCCCCAGAAGGGTGTCTTTCTGAGAGACCAGGGACAGCCCAGGCTGCTTGCAGTGACTCCCTCATACTTGCTGTTGAATCAGCTTGCCACCCATGGGCCTTCTGCCCTCTGAGCTTCCTCACTCTACCAACACAGTCAGTAACAGAACAGCAGCCTCCTTTACCCATTGCTGCGTGAATAAACCTCTATAGACAAGGGATGAAGAGACGGGGGCCAGCCAAGCCTTTGTCTCTGCACGGACCCATCAGGCCTGGAGGCCCATCAGCAGAGTGCTATAGGGGTGCTCAACAGTGCATCCCGTTATTGAATGCTGTTGAATTCATCTGCAGCTTTATCAGTGCTAGGTTCAAAACTGGGAAATGGATGGGAGGGAGGGAGCTGCTGCAACTGCCAAGAATGGATGCTTCCAGAATTTTATTTTGTAATTTCAATTTCAACTGTTTTGACAGTTCGTCAGCTTCACATGGAGTTCTTGAGAGCAGGAGCGGATGTCTTGCAGACATTTACCTTTTCTGCCACTGAGGACAATTTGGAAAGCAAGGTAACTGGGGTGCAGGTGGGGGTCAACTACAATAAACAAACCCTTGTGGGAAGCCATGGAGCTGCCTCCTGAATTACTACTACACTTTATGAAAAAAACCCATCCAACACCCAGGAATTCACTATCTCACAGACAGGTGTCCTAAACAGAAGAGCATTTCCTGCCAATTTAGGTGGAAGAGGAGACAGAACCCCAGAGCAGGCCATTAGACAAGCAAGTCCATCCCTTGGGAGTCATTTTGTGAAGAAGCTGCATTTGGCCACAACTTCTTTCACCTTTTCATTTTGCACTGTTCCCCCCTCCCTCTGCCACCTTATCTGACTAGAGATAGGGAGGTCCTCAGGAACATATCGCTGACCCAAAAATGACAAAAAACCAGGTTTGACATCCAGCTTTTACTGCCCACAGCCCATGAGACTTTATGCAAGACCATCCCTGCATTGAGCATTGGATCTATCTCTAGAAAACAGGGATAAGAAGCCATGCTATACTCAAGCCTGTCAGAGAAGAAAGAGATGAAGGATGAGAAAGCACATGCCCAAACCAACTGCTAACACAACTGCAATTGCCATGAATGACAATGTTCATGTGTAAGAAAGCAATATTTAATGGCAACCAGTATGTATTACATATACCCATGGGCTATTGTTATGATCCATTCTCTATGCTAAGTACAAAGATGATACAGAGGTTTGGAAGAGGTTCTGAAGAGGTTCATGATCAAATGTGGGAGGGGAACCAATAAAGCTAATAAAAGAGTGGTAAGTATAGTAATATAAAGTCACTGGTAGAGCTAAGGAGATGGCTCAGTCAGTAAAATACTTGCTGTGTAAGCATGAAGACCTGAGTTTGGAGTCCCAGACTCAGGAGTCCCCTCCCATATATGATGGGAGGGAGACAGGCAAATCTTCTGAGCTTGCTGGCCAGCCATTCTAGCCAAATTGTGAGTTCCAGGTTCACAGAGACCCTACCTCAAAAAATAAGGTGGAGAGCAACTGAGGAAGACATGGGATGCCAACCTCTGATGTGTCCATTGCCAGAGAGAGAGAGGAAGAGGGAGAGGGAGAGGGAGAGGAGAGGGAGAGGGAGAGGGGAGGGGGGAGGAAGAAATGCAGCCACCATATCTGACCTCCAACTCGCACCTGGCTGCGCTCAGTGTTGAGTGCCAGGCGAATCCTCAAGCTCGAGGGAGAGGAGAGGGAGAGGGGAGGGGGGAGGGGAGAGGGGAGAGGAGAGAGGGAGAGGGAGAGATTATACTCAGAGAGAACAGATGAGATTATACTCACTCTTCCCGAATTTCATTTAAAAGAATTGGAATTGGCTGTAAGGATTCCCTTACTCACTGCCCCTTTGCTATTTTACATTTAAAACAGCTAATTTTACATTTAAAACAGCAGTCTGTACTCTTGTTCTCTAACCTCAGTGGGAAGATGTAAATGAAGCCGCCTGTGACCTAGCCAGGGAAGTGGCTGACAGAGGGGATGCTTTGGTGGCAGGGGGGATCTGTGAGACTTCATTGTACAAATACCACAAGGATGAAGCTAGAATTAAAAACATTTTTCGACTACAGCTAGAAGTTTTTGCCAGGAAAAACGTGGACTTCTTGATTGCAGAGGTAAGCTGGGTCTTAGAGGAACAAGACTGAACCTATCACTGCGGTCTTCCACTTAGACTGGGCCACTGGGGACTGCACTATGCCCTTATTTCCTCCATGTGGGTGGTCAGAGATTTCTGTTACACGCTGCATTCCAAGCCAACATTCTACAGTCTGCATACTGGGTTCTCTTTGGGGCCAAGGGATAGACCGAAGCTATGCCCAGCTATAGATTTGGCTTCCTAAGGCTTTTTGATTGCAGCAGCTGACTTAGGGGACACTATAACCTGAGGTAAGAAAGAGGCAGTGACTTAGGGAGCATCTCCTCCCAAGGGAGAGGCCAGGCTTCAAGGTGCTGTGTGGTTGGGCAGGAGACAGTGAGGGAGCAAAGCCTAGCAGGCAGATAGCTGCTCAGGTTCACCCAGGGCCATCAACAAGACTCGGCCCTGAATAGTTGCCTTCTCTTCCATTCAGGCCTTTCTCACTCTGCCCCTCTGCCATTCCTTAGCCTATCACATGTGAATGCCACTTTAAAGAAAGAATTGGTCTATCAAGTCAGATGTTTGGTTGCTGAGATATTGATCTGATTTGCTTCTCTATTGCTGTGATAAAACATTAACCAAAAGCAACTTGAGGAGGGAAGGGTTTATTTCAGCGTATAGCTCCCAGGTCACAGGCCATCATGGAGGGAAGTCAGGGCAGGAACTCCAGGCAGGGCCAGAACCTGGAGGCAGGACTTGAGGCACAGACCACAGAGGAATGCTGCTTATTGGCTTGTTCCTCTGGTCTGTGTCCAACCTGTTATCTTATACAACTTAGAACCATCTGCCCATGGGTGGCACCACAGTAGGTCAGCCCTCCCATATCACTTAACAATCAAGAAAATGCTTCACAGACATGGCCACAGGCCAATCTAATAGAAGCAATCCCCCAACTGAGGTTTCCTCTTCCCAGATGTGTCAAGTTGACAACTGGCATTATCCAGCACAGACACATACCTGTGTCTGTGAGAAAATTAACTTAAGAGAGAGAGAAAAAAAAAATCATTTGGGCTAATGGTTTCCAAGGTTTCAGTCCGGGGCCAGTCGGCTCCACTGTTTCTAGGTCTGTGGTGAGGAAGAACACAGTGAAGGGAGAGCATGGTAGAGCAGAGCAGCTTACCTCATGGCAGTCAGGAAGCAGAGGGAGCCATAGGAAGGAGCTAGGTACAAAATGTCCTTCAGAGACATACCCTAGTCACCTACTTCCCCCAACGGGACCCCACCTTCTAATACCTCCCAAAGATGCTATCAAATATGAATCCATCCATGGTCTAAATGCATTGTTGAAGTCAGAGCCCTCATGGCCCAATCCCCTCTCAGTGACTGGTTCTACCAGTTGAGGACCAAGTCTTCAGCACATGAACCTATTGAGCGACATTTCATATCTAAGCCACAAGGTTCGGTTACTGACTGGATGCGAAGGGCCAGAACACTCTCCTCTCCACCCCATTTCCCAACATAATTGCCAATGCATGGGAGGCAAGCCCTCAACCTAGGTCTTTGAATGAGAAAATAGCTGTCCAACTACTGTTTCCCCTAATTCAGTCTATTCACTAGTGCAAATCCTGCCACGTCAGCCTTCCCAAGGCCCAATGCTGCCTGCACCTCGCTGGAGAGATCACACAGATTGCCCTAGGTATTCCCCAGATGGGGGGAACGCAGCTCTGCTGGTTTAAGAGCCTCTCTCCATTCTCTTCCTTGTTCCTCGTCATGGCTTCTCTAATATTTCTGTTAAGAGTGAAGACATGAGGAGAATTCTGATGGCTGTCTCCAGTCACCTAGGCTCACCCTTTTAATTGTGGCACTGAAGGGGGCTCCTGGGAAGCACCCCTGCATCTCATGTGTGTTCACCAGACAAGTCACCCTGGTCACCATCATCAGCAAGGACACTGAGTTGCTCTATCTCCTGCTCTGTGCTTCAGTCTTCCCATCTGGGAACATCTCATACTTCCCTTCCTACTTTATGGAGCACTTAAAATATCTAACTAGAAGTAATGTAAAATACAATAAACTATTATTTTTCAGAAATTACCCCAGTTCCATTAAAGACAATCCCAAAATCAATAAGGAAAATGTTCATTCCTTCAAAATTATGATTTCAAATATGCTGTTATTTAAAAAAAATAAAAACTTCTGGGTGGTATGGTGTTTGCTACTAACAGTCACCATTTCACTGAATGATGATACATGAATAAACTATGTATTGTGATTTAAGGAATTAAAATATTTACTCAGAAAGTCCATACTCTTTACATACTCTACTAGAAACATATCTCAGCAAGTTGTAGCACATGTATTTGGTCATTTTTATAATAGTTTTACATTTATGTTCTACCATTCAAAAATGGCTTAAAATTGGGGCCAATAAAAATAAAGTGACATTTCTTTTAGTATTTTGAGCACATGGAGGAAGCTGTGTGGGCTGTGGAAGTCTTAAAAGAAGTCGGGAAACCTGTGGCCGCCACCATGTGCATAGGCCCGGAGGGGGATATGCATGGCGTGACACCAGGAGAATGTGCTGTGAAGCTGGTGCAGGCAGGTAATAGAGCCTAGATGGGATGAACAGCATGGTGGCTGCTTATGAAATGTAGCAAAGTTTACTTAATACTGTGAAAGTACCAAAAAGGAAATGGGAGAATTAACTAGAATGATTGTTCCTATCTATAAATCCTGAGGTAGCTAATCACTAATGTAGCTTGTAAGATTGCTTGCTTGCTTGCTTGCTTGCTTGCTTGATGAACTGGTTTGAAATGAAGTCTCATTATGTAGCCCAGACTGGTGTTGAATTTGTGATTCTCCTGCTTTGGCTTCTCAAATACTGGGATTTCAGGACTGTACCACCACGCCTGGCTCAGCTTCTAACTATTATAAAAGAATAAACGGTCTGGAGAGGTGGCTTAGCAGTTAAGAGCATTGGCTGTTCTGGCAGAAGACTTGGGTTCAATTTCCAGCACCCACATGGCAACAAACAACTGTCCGTAACTCCAGTTCCAGGGGAGTCTGACACCTTCTTCTGACCTCTGTGGGCATTGTATGGCACAGATGCATGTACGCACATGCAGGCACCATACTCATACACATGAAATAAAAATAATAACTAATAAATTTAAAAAAGAATTAGCAGGCAAATGACTAAACAATAAGTTGTAGTGGTTCTTTATTTCACTATACAGGGGCAAACATTGTTGGGGTAAACTGCCGATTTGGGCCCTGGACCAGTTTACAGACCATGAAGCTCATGAAGGAGGGTCTGCGGGCTACAGGGCTGCAAGCTCACTTGATGGTGCAGTCCCTGGGCTTCCACACACCTGACTGTGGCAAAGGAGGGTTTGTGGATCTCCCAGAATATCCCTTTGGTAAGTTCAGGTGTACATAAATGCCTTCATATGCCTCATTGTGACAAAATTGATGCAATTATATAGGCCCACATAAAACAAAAATATTCAATTGTAACCAAATAGTGTTAAATAATGCATAATTTAGAGTTTATAGTTTTTTAACTGGAAAAAAATCCTCCCCTCCATGCATCTATCATTGAAAAATGGAGATTGTATTATCCACTTTTCTTGGTGCTTGAGCCAAATACCCAGAAAAGAAGCAACTTGAGAGGAGGATTCATTTTGGCTTACAGTTGAGGGGATGTGGTCCATCATAGTAGGGAGGGCACAATGGCAGGAGTGTGAGGCAGTCAGGAAACAGTATGGACAGGAAGCAGGACTAGCTATCAAACCTCAAGGCCGGCCCCAATGACCTACTTCCTCCAGCAAGGCTCCACCTCCCAAGGTTCCACAGACTTTCAAAATAGCACCACCAGGGGCTGGAATGATGGCTCAGTGGTTAAGAGTTCTGACTGCTCTTGCAGAAGACCCGGGTTCAATTCCCAGTACCCACACGGTAGCTAACAACTGTCTGTAACTCCAGTCCCAGGGGATCCACCATCATCTTCTGACCTCTGCAGGCACTGCACATGGGTGCACTTACATACATGCAGGCAATATGCTCATACACATAAAATAAAAATAATAAATAATAAATTAAAAAAATAGCACCACCAGCTGAGGACCCAGTGTTCAAATATATGAGCCTGTGGGGGGTGGTAAGGGGCATTTCACATTCAAAGCACAATAGGAACAGTAACAGATATGTCAAAACTATTATAGGCCTGGAGCCCAGAGTTGCAACCAGATGGGATATTCAAAAATATGCCAGAGAAGCCTACAACCTGGGGATCAGGTACATCGGCGGGTGCTGTGGATTTGAACCCTACCACATCAGGGCAATTGCAGAGGAGCTAGCTCCAGAAAGAGGATTTTTTCCACCTGCTTCAGAAAAACATGGCAGCTGGGGAAGTGGTCTCACTATGCACACCAAGCCCTGGATTAGAGCAAGGTAGGATTATTTCTAAATTGTATTCTTATCACTTTTTTAAAATCTCATTCTATTTATCTCCGTAAACACTATGCATGCACAAGATAATAAAACTTCAAACAGAGGTATATAAAATGAAAGCAAAAGTTGCTCCTCTCCTGATACTAGTCTATTCCCAGAAGCCTCTTGGTCTGTTCAGCTGCTGTAACAAAATACCAGCAACAGGGTGGCTTATAAACAACAGAAATTTATTTCTCATAGAGTTCTGAGGTGTAAGATCAGAGCACTGGCAGTTACAGTGTTTGGTGACGGTCCACTTTCTCATAGCAACTTCTTGTTGGTCTCATGATAGAAGGGGTGAGGCAAACTCTCTGGAGCCTCTTTGATAAGGGCACTAATCCCATTCGTCAGGGCTCTGCCCTTGTGACTTCAAAACCCCCTAAGACCCCAGCTCCCATGATCATATTGGTGATTAGCTTTCAAAATATTTCTCTTTTTTTTGGTCTTTTTGAGACAGGGTCTCCCTGTAGACCACCAGCTGGCCTGGAACTTGCTATGTAGACCAGGCTGGCCTTGAACTCACAGAGATCCGCTTGCCTCTGCTTCCTGAGTGCTGGGATTAAAGGTGTGTGCCACCATGCCTGGCTTTCAAAATATGCTCTTTTTAAATGAACACAAAAATTATAATATTTTTGTGGTGCCACATAGTGTTTCTATACATGCGCACAGTGGATAATGTTCAGAGTAAGCATGCCTATCTCCACCAGCAGTTATCATTTCTTTGTATTGAAAATCTTCAAAATCCTTCCCACTAGCTCCTTTCAGCTATACAGAATGTCATGTTCTCTGTAGTCACTGACTACATAGCTACCTGCTCCTTAGTCCATGGACATAAAGCATACTCTGTAAAATAGGAATTTATTCACTTTCTCCTC